CCTCCAGAGGAACTGGCTTGCCACGGTGTGAGACAGGATGCTGGACTAGATGGACTATTGGTCTGATCCAGCAAGGCTCTTCTTGTGTGTCTTATCAGAGAAAAGCCTCGGCCTCTCTCACCTGTTGTTGGCCCTCCAGAGGAACTTGGTGGCCACGGTGTGAGACAGGAGGCTGGGCAAGATGGACCCTCACCGGTCTGATCCAGCAGGGGTGTTTGTGGCTGCCCCCTGTGTCCTGGGATGGTGGCAGCAACTTTCCATTCTGCAAGACTGGTGTCTGCCTCCAGCTTCTGGTGCGCCTATACCGGTGACATTCACCTGGCAGAAATCATGCGCTGGCTGTCATGCATCCACTGCTTTGGAGTGGGCACAGTCTGCTGGTGTTCAGGAACAAAATATGCCCACTCTGGCTGATCACCACACTGAGGGCCAGGCAGGAATGTGGCCCCAAACTGTCCTGGCTGTTTGGGGGGTGGGGGTGAGACCCTTCTCACGCTTCCCAAGCTGTGCAAAACTGGAGAGCCAGGGGGCAAATGGAGGCCGAGTCATGGGGAACGGGAAGGATGTGGTGGCTGCAGCTCTGCTTTGATACTCAGAGGGACAGCTTCCAAACAGAAGTAATACTGAGGAATGATCCAACACAGAGTCTGAGATCCTGAATCCTGTGTCTGCTCTCCCGCCTTTGTGCCATGTGTTCCATCTTGCCCAGAGTCCATTTTACAGTAGGAGAAGCTGAGGGTGGGGGAGGTGTACATAGGGTTGGTGCTGTTGGCAGTGGGGGGGGGAGCTGTCTGTGCCCCACCCCACCAGTGTTCCCTCTAAGCTGAGTTAGTGTGAGATAGCTCACAGGTTTTTTGTCTTAGTGCAATTTTTTGTCTTAGTGCAGGAAGGAATGGCTCCAGAGCAAATTAATTTATGCAGCAGCCAAATCGCTGGCTCACGACTTTAATGCCAGTAGCTCACAAAGTAGGATTTTTGCTCACAAGACTCCACAGCTTAGAGGGAGCCTTGGTTGGATGTTGCTGATACACGTTGTGCTGTCTGGGCCCACCCAGGAGGGCGTGTGTGGTGCAGCATGTGACGAAATGGGGGTTTCTCCACAACAACAGGAGGGGGGAAGCAAAACCCATCCTGAGGCCCACAACCTCTAGAGATAGTGAGGGTGTGTCGGGGACAGAAGAATGGCGTTTTAAATCGTATTTATTTAAGGGTGTAGACTTTCCAATTTCCCGGGGGGGGGGGCTGGGCCAGAGGCATTGCTTTGCTAGGAGCAAGCGTGGCTCCCGGGGGAGGCTGGGCCACTTCCTGAAAATTTCGGCGGGGGCTGCCGCCCCGCCGCCCCGCCGCCCCCACGAAGATTACGCCTATGCGTGCCCAGGTACTGTTAATGTATCAAGGAGCTGCGGTGGCTCAAGTGGTTAAGACGCTGAACTGCAGGCTGTGGAAGGTCGAGTAGTTCAGCAGTTCGAGACCCGGGTGCCGCATGATGGAGCGTCCGTCTCTGGTTCCAGCTCCTGCCAACCTAGCAATTTGAAAGCAAGAAATTGCAAGTAAATAAATAGGTACCACTTCGGTGGGAAGGTAACAGCGTTCCGTGCGCCTTGGTGTTTAGTCATGCTGGCCACATGACCACGGAAATGTCTTCGGACAGCGCTGGCTCTTCGGCTTTGAAACGGAGATGAGCACCGCAACCCTAGAGTCGGACTCGACTGGCTTTCGAGCAAGGGAACCTTTACCTTTTTACTGTTAATGCGCTCGTGTTTATTTTCAGCGCTTAACTTGTACATAGTTAAACCTTTCTGGGTTAAATAAGACCTGGTGTGCCTTGACCACCTAGTCCTCCCTGCTCAGCACATTACCAGAAGCAAAAGGGAGGCCAGGGAACCCAAACAGGCCCAAATTGGAGGGGCTGCCATCTCTCCAGGGGGCGCCCAAAGATTGTGGTACCAACTTCCCAAGGGTGGGGAAATCAGCCAGAGGGGTCTCACCGTCCCTCAAGGAAGGTGGTGTCAATTCAGTGAGTGGTGGCAGCATGGAACGAAGGGAAACAGCCCCACCAGGCAGGGTGGGAAGGCCAAAACAGGGGCTTGCGAGCCACAGAACGGCTGCTCAGTCTCCCAGGGCTGAGGGCGGGTCCCCGTTTCACCACACGGCATCTCCCACGCCAGCTCCTTATTTTCCTTTCCTGAATCCCTTCTGGCTTTTGCTGTGAGGGACGCTTGCAGTGGGGCCAGATTTCAGGAGTCTGGCTGTGTCAGTGCAGTGCGTGGCAGAGGAATCCCCCGCCCCCTGGTGCGCTGGGACCCCTCGTGTCTTGATCTATGTGTCTTATTAGATTTATGCCCTGCCCTCCCCGCCGAGGCAGTCTGGCAGTCTGCACATTCCATTCCTGTTCCGTGCAGTGGGGGGCTCTTCCCGTTCACTGGCCCTCAGCCCCCCCCCCCAGCACAACGTAGGCACCCACCCTTCCCATGCTCCTAAGGAGTGTGATGCGAGGGGGACTCTCGGAGGGCAGCGGGGCTGGTCTGCTGCGGAGCAGCTACGGTCGAGCCCAGGAGCACCCAGAGACCCACGAGATTCGGGGAGGCGACGAGCTCTCGAGAGTTAATGCTCCTTTTGTGAGACGTGGAAGGGTCTTCTCTTGCACACCAAGATGGTTTGCTCAGCATGGCCACGTGCTGCTCAGGTGCCCAAGGGCGTCTTCGGGTCTTCCAGGGCAAATGCAGCACTGCTCTGTTGCCCTCTGCTTGAATGCAGGCCTTCTGCGTTTCTGTAGGTAGGGTTTTGCTCGAAGTCACACTGCGCAATGAGATCAGTAGTCCTGGCGCTGCAAAGGACACCCGTGCCATGGCTCTGTCAGGCTGAATCCACAGGTGGCTCCTAACCAAGGCCTTAGTGAGCCGCCTTCTTTGTCTGCAGAAATGGGCACCGCGCCCACTACCAGCTCTGACAGGTTGTAATGGACGGAAGACCTCTTGGTTGGGTGTGGGGCCAGAGAAGCCATCGCCGATGGGCAAAGAGGCTGTGGGACTGGCCCCGTCTGGGGCCCTGGCTTGGTCCTGAGAGAGCGGGGAGTGCCTGGCTGGAATGCAAGGGGAGTGTTTGCGGTGTGGAGGTGGACAGTCACCCAGGGCAACACTTAGACAAGGGTGCAAGATAGGCCTCAGAGATGCACAGATCTATGACCCATTTCCCATCGCCGAACAGAATGTCTGTTGCCAGCAGGGAATAACGAAGCAAGTCTCACAGGAGTTCAGAGGGGGAATCAAATGAACATCCAGTGGTACCTTAGAGAGACTGAGGTCCAGGGGGAGGCTGAGCTTTCCTGAGTCACTACTTGCTCCCCCGGGGACAGGTGGAGAGCGATGGTCCCCCTCTAAGCCGTGGAGTCTTGTGAGCAAAATCCTACTTGGTGAGCTCCTGGCATTAAAAGTTGTGAGCGAGCCATTTGGCCGCTGCTGCATCAGTTAGTTGTCTCTGGAGCCCCATCCTTCCTGAGCTGAGACAAAAATGTGTGAGCCGGAGGCTAAAGAACTGTGAGCTAGCTCACACCAACTCAGCTTAGGGGGAACACTGGTGGAGAGAAGTCAGGCCGGCCGGCCAGGTGGCTTCAGGGCGAGATTAGGAAGGAAGGCGGGCGGGGTGGGGGACCCAGAGAGAGAGGCTGGGAGTGAATTCCCCCAGGAGCCCGGCAGGTGTAACTCCTCTGGCTAAGTGACTGGAAGAGGGCCAGCACTTGCAGGCAGAGGATCCCTGGCGGTGCCGCCGCCTCCCTGCCTCTTTTCGGCCCAGGCCTCCTCCTCCTCCAGCTCCTCCCGGGGGCGGACTTTGGCGCTGGGCTGCGAAGGCGCAAGGGCGCGCGAGTCCTGGCGAGCCTGTGCAGAGTGCCACCTGTGGACGCGGGGGGGGGGCGAGGAGGGAGGCCTGCACCCTGCACAGGCTCGGGGGAGCGGGCGGCGGGGGCGGCGG